GGTTTGTCTGATTTGTCATTGTGTTTTCTGACTTGTTATAATGTTTTCTGAATTGTTGTTGTGCTTTCTGAATTGTTATTTTGTTTTTTAGACTTGCATTTGCGTTTGTAATTTGTTATTTTGTTTTCAGAATTGTGATTTGCTTTGCACTTCTCGGCCACCGTAGGTTTGTGGTGGAAAACAAAACAAAAAAAAACCTGTCAGCAGAGTTTTGTCTTACATCTGGACATAGCTAGTATTTAAAGTCACGATAACTAGGACTGTGTTTTTATCATAAAATTGCAGTGGTGTAAAACAAATAACTTTCACCACAGCAAAAATAGCAATGCGAGAATTGTGAGATTTGCAAGTCATTCATTTTTTACAAATAATTTCTAATAATTATTGCAAATGACTGATTTAAAAATTCAAATATTTTTTTTCTATTAATAATCGATAGCCTGCATTTGGGTCATTCCACGAAATCGGTGCCTTTTCCACTTAGAAAAATTACAAAAATAAAATAAGTTTAATCAACATTTTTTAAATATCCATGAAATGAAGACACCTTAAAATGACAAGAAATTGTATTGTGCCGTCTCAGGCTATGTAATTTAAATAGTCATTTTATGACAATTTTTCTAACTCATGTTTTGGTATTTTTGTCAACCCTGTTACAGACAAGCGTTACTATATGCTATAGTTTAATTAGAACTATGTGATAGAGCAGCATTTTAGTCCCACTTTTCATTGTGATTGTTTCAACTTTTGATATTTTTAAAAATATTTTTATATTTGTCATTCAGATGACCAAGAACATCCTAATTTTGGAATGTGACCACATGTCATTTAAGAAAAAAATATATTTTTACAAGAGAGATATTAAAAAAGGGCTTTGTCCAAAATAAAATATAAAGTTACAATGGAAAAACCTCGAAGGATGTATCAAATATAATTTTAAAAATTTTTATGAAATTAATGTACAGTAACAGGACTGACGTCATAGTCACAGGACTGACCAGAGTAACAGGGATGACAGGACACACAATTATTCTATGGGTCTCTCAAATGGATAACTCTTTATATATTTGTGGTCACATCATACATTTTGTTTAAGGTTGCCAAGAAACAAGGGGTGGCTCAACTTCCCCACAAGCTCAAATCACCCTGCTCTCCCCTATTTCCCATCCATTGCTATGATTATGTCGATCACTGTGATTTTGAAAATGAATCAGGCATTTATATGAGGAATGAGGGATTTATGTCACTCCCGAGACTTTGCTGCATTTAGGGTATGTGGCCGTTGGTCCTCTTAGCAGCAAGAAGAACAAAACTTTTATTCAGATTCTGAAAGGATTATGTGTAGCCTAGAGAGCGTGCAAATAATGCTTCCTTTATAATCACTAAAACTGTCACTTACTTAAGTTCATTGCAATCGCAAAACGTTCCATTATAATCATCTCTATGCTGCACAATTAATCTTTTATTTACATTGTGTCTTTACTTTCTTTGTTACAATGTGACGGTCACAATGGCCAATCAGAGGTGTGCAAGAAGTCAACATCTATGTCTGTGATTGGCTACAATGCTCAACGCTACGAATCACGTTGTAAATAGAAACTTTTGACGCTCTCTAGAGTGCAAAGTTTCTCTGCAAGGTTTCTCTGCAAAGTTTCTCTGTTTCTCAAAGCACTGCAAACACAAATGGGCACTGGGGAAGTTGCCAAGTGTAGAGTGCTCTTGCTTTCGTTTGAGGTTGTTTTTCAATGAGTGAGAAAATGGATGTGTGGGGTGGTGAGCATGACAACAGTGTTAATTGTTAATTTCGTGAGTCTCACACTGAATGCTTGAGAGTTGACAGCCTTCACTGTACACTGTACATCATCCAGCCCAAATATAATGTCAAATTCACATCACATGTGGTCTGTTGAATTTTTTTAGTTTTTGCTTGCATGTGCTTTAATTGCTTGCATGTGCTTTAAGTGGTCTGAATCTCTTGGCTCAAACTACAAAATTCATTTACATGTCCATGGATTTGAATCGTGTTTAAACTAAAAGTTTAGCTAATTTTATTATAGTATTCTCAATTAAACAAATACTTAATTTGAGTAGATATCAGTTATAAAGTAATTTGGTCAAAAGCATGGTTAAATGCATTATGGTGTCTGGAAGTTGGTATCTAAGGCTGGATATAGAGTTGGAATGTCATGTCATGTGTCATCAAATCACGTAGGTCTGATTAAGATGTATACTCTGCAAATAAATTACCAAAATTTACTATAATTCTACAAAATGACGAATAAAGAATTTGAATCAGCTGTGTATTTGATTTTTTTTTTTAATGTTTTATTCAGTTTATCAAGGTGCTGAACAACTTGAAAGCACCATTACTCTTCAGTATCTTTGCCCAGTCAAAGTGTCAGTCTTGCGTTCTCCACACAATTACACTAGACTCTAGAGTGACTAGAGGGCAACGTTCCTCATTCTCCCCATGTCTTGAGTAATATACCAGAGAATAATAATCCTTCTGCTAAATCATGGAGGAAACAGTCTTATCACAGTTGACTTTTACACGAATTATGCTTTTGAATAACGTCATAAATCAAGGTTAAACTGCTCTTAACTCTGAATATCTCTTATGAACAATAGTGTTGCAAGATTGAGTCAAAAATAAATATAATAGAGACCAATAGAGACCAGCTCTCATAAAATCTAATTCAGACAATATAGTAACAATCTGCAGTTAAATATGTCAGGTAATATCTATATATCTTTACATTCATAAGATAAGTTTTAGATCAGTATTAGTGAGTGAGTGAGAGAGAGAGAGAGAGAGAGAGAGTGAGAGAAAGAGAGAGATTGCTTCTTGTATAAAACCAGAGTATAAGAACAGGCACCAGAGAATCTCTGCATTTCTTTGCATTCATCACAGCAATACTAATGGCCACTGCAGGAAAGGTTCGTAAACTTGTCTTTTGGTCTCTTATAGTAGTTAATGCATTTTTAATACGACTCACATCTCATATACGTTCATTTACATTGACCTATTGATCGCATAAGGAAACAATTTACAAGGCAAAGACATCTACAGTTAAGTTAATTTTTATTCCATATAATCAAATTAATGCAAAATGAATAAGACTTATAAGACTGTTATAAATGCTTTGAGCTAGCTACTATAGCTATCTTAAGCAAACACTGGTTAAAGTTATGGGGGAAAAAAATCAGGATCAATGTCTTGTATTACATGCTTGTGTATATGTTATTATTGTGATGTACAATTGATTGCACTGCTTTACTAACTATAATGCAATATATCAAGACTGGCTGTTCATATAAAGACTAAATAATATATAAAGACTACACAAAGAGGTTTGGATGCCACATGTAAAAGTGCAAAGTGACATTTGTGCATAATTATTCATCTAATCCTCTTATAAGTCAACTTTTTTTTTAAACAAATGCAAGATATTTTTGAGGTTCTATTTGTAATTCTCCTAATTTTCCATCAAATTGATACTACATATGCAGTTTCACTGAGTTAATATTTATCTTTAGTGATAGTGATGATAGTGAAATCACAGATAGTTGTGGCTCTAAAAACATGTTTTGATGATTTCATTGGCTGGACAACCTCCAACTACGGTTAGAGAGCAGAGATCATGGAACCACTCAAGTGCAGCATTTATATAGTCATCTGTAGTCAACCATTAAATGTCTATAAAACATAATGAATCAAGTTCTTCTGTGTGCTAAAGGTGATTAAATGTCGGGCTGCTGTTGCCTGGGAGCCCAATGCGCCTCTGGTAATAGAGGAAATAGAAGTCGGCCCACCTCAGGAAGGAGAAATACGAATTAAGGTGGGAAATGTCCCATGAAAGTTGTCACAAACCCAAATAACTAATTGAAAATCAGTTGTTAAAGCATGCAACACTATGCTTGTGTTGTAACACAAACAATCATTTTCGCCATTACAGATTGTAGCTTCAAGTCTGTGTCACACCGAGATTTACCACCTGTTTGAAGGGAAGGACAAGCGGGGTTTTCCCACTGTCCTGGGACATGAGGGCGCTGGTGTGGTGGAGAGTGTGGGACCTGGAGTCACTGATTTCAAACCAGGTCACAAAATAAAATGTCTTGATTTCTATTTTAAAAAGCATAGTTCAGCAAGAAATTAAAGTTCATCATTTATTCACCCCCATGTTTATTCCAAAGCTGTATGACTTACTTTCTTCTGTGGACAGAAAAGGAGAAACTATGTAATTATGTACTGGCTGTTTTACATACAATTAAAACACACACACACAATAAAGGTAGTACATATGACATCTTCTAAAGACATTTTATAGCGCTGAGTGAAAAAACAGACCAAAGTTGTTATTTACCTCCAGGGACCCAATAGCTGCTGCTAGATCACTGAGTCAGGGAAATGAACTGAAGCCTTCTTGGCTAGTTCAGATGTCCAGTGACATCCAATTTGTGAATGAATCAACTTATTTTGAGTCACATCATTTCACTGAATCAGCTGATTTGTGAATCTGATTTGTTCATAATCCAGTTCTTGAGTTCTCAATGACTCAATAATGGGTCTTCGCACTTAACTTAAATTTTGGTCTCTTTCTCACATAAAGCTTCAGCATATTCATATCCATTTACTTATTTTTTTAACTCAAACTAAAAGTACATATTCAGTAATTTAATTAAAGCTGAAATAAATTAAAATATACATACAGTATTAGTTGAAAAACGTCAATTTAAAAAATGTTGTTTTGGCAACTAACTGAAATAAGTTTAAGTACTAAAATTACTAAAACTGAATCAAAGCTAAATAGAAATATAAAAAACAACAAACAAACTACTAAAATGTAAAATTAAAATGAAAGCTGAAAATATAAAAACATAGCTAATTCAAAATATTAATAAATACTAATATATAAATAATACTAAAATAAAACTTTTGCATTCCAATTAATATATATATATCATATGGCATATGGTTTGGAACATCATAAGTGTGAGTAAATTATGACAGATTTTTTAAAATTCCCTATAACTCTTAGTGTAAATATGCTGATGTAATAACAACAACAACAACTACTACAAAAATTAAAAAATACATCTGTGTATTGTGGTGAACAGGTGATAAGGTCATTCCAGTCTCGGTCGCTCAGTGTGGAGAATGCCGGTTCTGCAAGAGTCCAAAAACAAACGTGTGTGACCGCAACTGGTGAGAAATACAAACAACACAACTTTTCACATATTTCATTCATCCTTCTGTTTTTGAAACCTTAACGTTACAAAAAAAATTGTCTTTTTTTTTTTGTCAGGATAAATTATCACGTCGATTTGATGTCGTATCCCACAACACGTTTCACTTGCCGTGGTCGGCCCATCCTGCAGTTCACAAACACCGGTACCTTCTCTGAATACATCGTCATCAACCGGATTTATGTGGTCAAGATTCATGATGATGCCCCACTCGACCGCGTGTGTCTGCTCGGCTGCGGCATCTCTACCGGTTATGGAGCTGCTGTCAACACGGCTGGGGTGTGTATAGATGCTCAAGAAGCATTTGGACACTTGCTTTGCGTATTTTTGCTCTGTCAACGAAAACAGTTCCTAACAAGTCTCTGAGAAACACACATTAGAGATTAGTGATGTCCGGTTCGCGAACGAATCGTTCGATTTAACCGGTTCTTTAGTTTACAACTTAAGAGTTCAAATAGCTGTGGCTTGAACAGTAAGGTGAATATTAAGGTGCGTTAGTAATTAATTTGTGTTTGTGTGAAGGTCACACCAGGCTCAGTGTGTGCAGTGTTTGGACTGGGTGCAGTAGGTCTGGCTGCAGTCATGGGCTGTAAAAACGCCGGAGCCTCCCGTATCTTTGCTGTGGATATTAATGAGCAGAAGTTTGAGAAGGCAAAGGTCTTCGGTGCCACTGATTTTCTGAATCCAAAGGCATATAATAAACCCATCTCTGAAGTACTGGCAGAACTTACCAATGGAGGAGTGGATTTCTCACTCGAGTGTGTGGGCAACACTGAAGTATCGGTAAGCCTCAACTGACACGTATATAGAAAGCGCATGTATTTACTTGCTTGTTTAAAAGCTTTCAGTGCTTGCAATTCTTCTGTGTGTGAGTTTAATGTTTTTTTGACCTCAGAGAGCTGCACTGGAGTCGTGTATTAAAGGTTGGGGTGTGAGTGTTTTGGTTGGCTATACTGATGTAGACTTTTCAGCAAGGCCAATTCAACTCATATCTGGGAAAACATGGAAGGGAACCCTATTAGGAGGTAAACCAGCTGTCAGTTAATGCTTTCTATGGCTTTGAGAGTACATGTCTGTGCATGTATTCATTTTTGTTTATGTGAAAAAGGTTTTAAGATCAAGGACTCTCTTCCAAAACTGGTTAATGACTACATGACTGGCAAAATAATGCTTGACGAGTTCATAACCCACAAAATGGATCTGGAGCAGATCAATGATGCCGTCAATCTCATGAAAACTGGACAATGGTACATTTCTCACTTTGTTATTATCTAAGGTTAATCTTATAAGAAAAAAGTTCTAACTTTTTTCCTACCTTACAGTATTCGATGCATCCTGAATATATCCAAATGAGAATCAAGTCATCTCCAATCAACTTCTACGCCAGTTTGAGACAACCGGATGGGAACAGATTGCTCAGACTTAACACTAGTTTAAAGTACTGTAACTATTTCTGAAAGGTGTAGAAAGCACTGAAGTGATGGAATTAATCAACTGCCTGGCTAAAAATTAGTTTGTATCACCAAAAAGCAACAATAATTCGATACAGATGAATCTCTTGGATGATCTTATCAGCTGCTTTCATAAGTCATTGTTTAAATTTCATTCCTTTGTAATGATTGACTGATGTTTGGCATTTGTTGTACACAAAAAAATAAAGGAGAAAATATACTTTAATTCAGCTTGAATACTGAAACTGATTTCAAGAGATGCGTCAAACAGACAAGGAGGCCTGCAACTGCTTTTCAGACTTTCACATTGCTCTTTAAGTGGTATTAAACAACCAAAGACAAACTAAGGATGACTGCAGTAAAAGGACATTTCAGAAAGGCCATCAAACAGGTGAAACATAAATTAAACCATTGTACTTAACCTAATGTTTCCTAGATGTTCATTGACACAGTCACTCAAACAAGATCGATTTAATTGGACCTTATGAACGCTGGTAGAAGTTCATGAAAAACATTTGTACAATGTTCAATAACGTTACGAGGCACTCAGCTGTAAAGAGTTTTTATATATCAATCATGATTTGATAAGATTTGGAGAGACTCCAGTGTTTTATCACATACACTCGTTGCATCTCGAACCCCAACAAAACAAACATGGTACATTGCAACGAGCCAGGCATACAAACACACTGAAGCAGACCGAGACAGTGGACCTCACACAGCTGACGCGCTCTCTCAAACACACAAGTGCACACACGCAAAACCACTCACACAGATACCTCTGCCCTGAAGACAGAGTGTGGCGGCACTGTAACCAGGTTAAAGGCCAGTGCCTTTGAATTTACTCAGATCCAAGCTGATTAATGTGACTGTCAGGTGACACATTCAGAAGTTAACAAATCTCCATCTCCTGCCCAAATCCACTGTCACGTGGCCAATCATCTCCTGCCCAACAGAGACCCACTGTGTGATTGGCTGATTGGTGATATGGGGCGGAGCTGTTGTATCCTCCACTGCAGAATAGGGCTGATATGACCCCACCATTCTACATTTGGGACAGGAAGTGAGCACGGCCATTATCCTCGAGGCGGCGCGTGAGGATTTCACAGCCTGTCTCTGTCACGAGGAGCGTGTGCTCAAACTGGGCTGAGCGTTTACCGTCACGAGTGACTGCAGTCCAACCATCTGGCCACGTCTCATCCTGCCAGCCACCTGCACAGAGCAAAGATTCTTAAATAAGCAATTGATTACAATACTTAATCACATCAAAACTCAAATTTCTATAGTTAACAGTATCAGTTAAAAAAAGAAAATAACATTTTTTTAATTTGAATATATTTTCAAACGTAATTTATTCCTGTGATGCCAAGCTGAATTTTCAGCATCATTACTCCAGTCCTCAGTGTCACATGATACTTCATAAATCATACTAATATGCTGATTTGCTGCTCAAGATACAATTATTCTCATTATCAATATTGAAAACAGTTGAGTGGCTTAATATTTTTGAGGAACCATTAGATGTTTTCTTTTCAGGACTTTATTCATTATTCTATATATTCATTGAATATAAAGTTCAAAAGAATATTTATTTGAAATTGAAATTCTGATCAATTTAATGGGTCTTTGCTAAATAAGAGTAATGATTTCTTACAAAATAAAAATCTTACTGACCCCAAAGCTTTACGGGGTAGTGTAAATGAACCAACCAATCACATGTTTGAATGCATTAACTTTGACAGCCCTATTTAAAAAAAATATATATTTTTTTTTCTAAAAGAAAAAAATTCTAAACAATAAGTGCACAATTTGGATAGATAAGAAAATTATTTTGTGATTTGTCTCCAACCTTCGCAGATCATGGGCTCAATAGTAAATACATGACCAGGTTTCATCACTCCTACTGCTTTATTCTCTGTAGAAATACATAAAACAAGGACAGTTCAAGCTTTATGAGTGTTTGCACTCTCTGCAGTTTCGATTACATCACAGTGTGCAATGCTTGTATCATTCAGACTGTGTCTTTTTGACAAAATGTTACTCACTGGCATAGTGCGGTACGTTTGGTGCCGTGTGGAACAGTTTGTGAATGCCGTGGCCACAGTAGCTCCGTACCACAGAGAAACCGTTAGCCTGCGCGTGTTTCTGGATGATGTTTCCCAGCTCACGATAACGGATACCAGGCTTCACTAGACACAAGACAGAAACAAGCTTCTTCAGACCACAACACAGACATCCCTCTGTGCAAGTCTGCCCTCTAAAGGTCATTAATGCACATCACATCAGAAAAACATACTGTACTATAATATATCATGTAGGCCAAATGTCAAACTCGCATAACATAGGGTCTGTTGAATTGTTATTGTTGTTTGCATGTGCTTTCATACTCACCAGAATCGATGGCTTGCATAAGACATTCATAAGTGGTCTGAACCAATCTCTTGGCTCCCTCATCCACTTCACCCACAAAAAAGGTTTCATTCAAATCTCCATGGTAACCATTGTGGTAAACTGTTATGTCGACTGCAAGAAAAAAAGTAACATATGATTGGCCAAGTGAACATGTAACATTTAGTGCAATTTACCTTAAGACTGAAGATTTTTTTTCTGCATATGTTACACAGAACTCTGTAGAAAACTACACAAACTGACACAAAATGATATGATTATGCTTTCAGCTACTATTATGAGCAAAGTACTCTGCATTTAACAGAAATCCATTCCACAGCCTTTCACACTCTGTGCAAAGAAAGCAAAAAAAAAAAAAAAAGCTGCAGATTCCATCTGGCTCTGGATACTGCCTTCAGCGTGAGGTCTGTTCAGTGTAAATTTGGCATTAAATGTACGTAGAAGCAGTTCTCTGTGCTGTAGCCTATAATATTTAAATTAAGGTGATCAATGACAAAACATGTAGCTAGGAATAATGAGATCTACATGTCACTGGTCATTTGTTTAGTTTACTTATCTATTATGGCATTAACAAGAATAAACAGCTTTAATAATATGGCATTTTGACAATGGGACTTAAAATGGGCAGAAGGAAAAAACATCAGTCTGGACAGAGTTCTGCAAGAACAAGCCAATGCATTCACAGAAATGTGAACATGTGGAAAATCAGTCACGCACAAATCTCGAATGTCCACTGAATGTTTATCTGACATTTGGACTAACTGAAATATGAAATACAATGTCAATTTAGAGGGAGGGTGATTCTATCCCTTTAAAACAGCCCTCTTGGGTGCAAAAATCAGATCTCCCATAAAGTAAAGCCAGGAAGATGCATTCATATACTATATGTTCACATGTATGCTGATACATACTATTCAGTATGTCCTCCTCCTGGAGTGGACGGCAGTCAGGGATCCCATGGCAGATGATTTCATTGACTGAGGTGCAGCAGGACTTGGGAAAGTTGTAGTAGTTCAGAGGTGAGGGGTAGCAGTTCCTCGCTGTGCATGCCTTAACCAAAAAATATGGACAAATCGTTTGGCATTAGCATCAACATTCATACAGGCTGTCCTACTCAAATGACAACGACAGTAGAATTCACAATAAAAAAATCCACGTGTTTATTATGCATATTGTCAAAAATAGCTGTCAAACAACTGTAAAAGATTATGCATTTTTTCCAGAAGGAAACTCCAGCATGAAGCATGACATTTACAACAGTGGTTCTCAACCAGGGGTCCAACAAACGTCCAAGAGGGACCCCCAAGATGAAATTATTTAAATTTAGTTATATTAACAATCTTAATACAAAACAACATAAAACAAAAATAACAAACTGGCAACGTAGTTTTTAATTTTTACTATAACAAAAGTACCAAATGTACAGCTTAAATAGGAGGGCCTCTTGGACAAAGTGGGCCTTGGAGTCAAAGCGAACCACTGATTTAGAACAAATAAAAAAATACATTCATGTGAATGCATAAGAAATTTCACATTTCCCTTAGATCAGCGGTTCTCAATTCCAGTCCTCGCGTACCCCCGCTCTGCACATTTTGTATGTTTCTCTTATTGCTTCATACGTTTGTTATATTTGACTGTAAGTGCCCTGCGAAGTGGACATTACCGGATATTCCGCCATGATTCCAGTTTGAATGGAGCGTATATGTTCCATACAAAGGTCATTTAAGTGTGCGAGACGTGAATTTAAATTGTATTTATTTACAGAGGTATATTATGTCCCACTTCACGCTTCTCTAGTAAGTTTCGTATGTGTGTGAAGATGCTGCAGGCAGCGGCGCAGCGCAAATCTGTAAATGAATATTCCGAAGTGAAGTAAACTTCAACAGATTTCCCCTGCTCACGGAGTAGGGAGCAATGGACACTGTGTAGGGACCATGTCAATCGGAACACAGTTCATGCACGGAGCTCACTTCTAACGAGATGATGATCTGAATCAGGTGTGTTAACAAAGAGAGACAAGCAAAACATGCAGAGCGGGGGTACGCAAGGACTGGAATTGAGAACCGCTGCCTTAGATAACCTGTATTTAAACATTCTGCTCTGATCAGACTACCACTTTGTAAAATTTAGATTAGAAAAAGAAAAAAGGCTGTGAATTTTTACCAAATGCACCGCATGGTCGATCTCCTCCGTCGTCACTCCAGGTTTCACCATCATGGCAGCAATGTCAAGGACTTCTCGAGCCAGCTGAAGGAAACAAACATTGTCTTTATTATTTAACAATTCAAATGTCTTTTGTGTACTTGTGCTCATGATAGACTTGACAACCTGCCATGATCCCACTAGACAATTTTTCAGCATGTTTGCGTAAATTTATCTTGTGTAACCAAGTGGGGTTCTCTTAACTAAAATCTGAAATTAGAAACTAGTGGCAGAACAACTGGCGTTTAAATAGAGGCAGAAAATGGCTTTCGCAACACCCAAAATTTCAGCTGATGCATTTCAGTTATTATTCTTTATACAAAGGTTATCATGTGTGAAGTTATGATGTTGGTTTACCTTGCAGACAACTCTCATGCCCTCAATCTCTTCAGCATTGAGGATCTTAATCTGAGACGTCCCTTTCATGGTCTGCTCTGACTCTGACATTCCTGCAAGCAGTGATGAAT